AATTTTTCTAAGTTATTTTAATGATTTCTTGACTGTCATAGGGTAAATCATTCTTATTTTTTAAATAGGGACGGTAATTTGATTTGCTTTACGCCCGAAACACTATATCGTGCTGCTCTGTCCATATTTATCTATTAATATAATCGCCTATTTTACTGACGTCTGCAGAACTAGTTTTCTTGAAAATCTAACTCGATCGAGACTATTAGACATTAAATAAACATTTTTAACTTTAAAATTCCCAGAGAAGACTTATTTGGCGTTGTGTTCATTTAAAATTTTTGTTCATGCACTTTCATATATTTATTCTCCTTTTTATAGGGGGATTTCTGTCGAACTAAATGGGGAGTTAAAAAAATTGTTTAATATAAGTTTGTGCCTTCACCAGGTTGATGTCTTAGGGTTATATCCACACACTCATATACCTTTTATGAAAGTGTTCATAAATTAGATGACTTTGTAATGAAATAATCAATAATGTTTTAGTAATATTGAGCAGGAAGCGATGACAAAGACTTTGACTTCTGAATCCCGTAAAGATAAATTATGAGGCATGCTCTAATTATCACTAACCTCAACGTTTTTTATCTTTCTATAGACTTTCGTTTGTGGTACTAACGCCTTATTGTCAACCGTGTGTATCTGTATATAGAATGATTCGAATAAGTCTGGGGCTACTGATTACGCATGATTATATAGCTAGATATGTTTGTGAGCCATTTGTTTGCTGGATGCTTGGGTGGCTGTTTTACATCTAACCATATTTGTTGAATAAAATAAGGTACGGTGGCAGCTAAGCCTTTCGTCGAATGTTGATGAAATCGATCATCCGGAACTGACTATTGCTTTGGAAAATCAATAAAAAATGATATTTTATTATTAGTGATTTACGATTAATTTTATACATATTCTTAATATGTTACATTGTGAAACGTTTTTCACGACCTCCATGCCAAAATTTAAAGCAATTGGTTTTGGTGTAGTGTCATGGATGAATCATGTATTGACCAGCTTAACTTTTAAACGATATAAAGCTCAAGGAGAACTTTGTCTTTGTTTTTTCTCGCACTCTTGTTTATCAAGGTACGAAGACCATAATGGGGTGGTCTTTAGTATGGTCTCGGTTTCCTTTTGCTTTATATAAGTTGTTTGACCTTGTTTTCGCAGCTTGGTCATATTGGCAGGAAGACCTATAGGAACACGCCTTGTCCGGAGTCCATAGTATGCATGATAATTTCCAGAGTCGGGCCGTGGACTTGGCTTATTCCCAAATGTGACAAGGGAATCCGCAGCGTAAAAAATAGGCCTTCAGGCTAACTGTGAATCCAGAATTTAGGGGCTTGTTTAGTGGGGCTGGAGGACACCCTCTATCAAAGGTGTAAGGCAGAGTGTAGAACATAGCGCCTCGAGTGTTGTGGATATGGTGACAGCGATCCAATGAAACCAGTAAACAAGGCAGATAAAAGACAGATCCTACGACGCAGGAGGGAGACTGTTAGGACCTGGAGAATAAAAAATGTGGACTAAACGACAGTCTTGGGTCAACACTTCCAGCACAGTGGGGGATGAAGGAATCAGCGAGAAGTGTTGATGGATCTCACTAAATCCGGTCAAAATGGCACACCTCAACTAGACTTAGATAATTATGAAATTGTGTTAGGGAAGAGGTATTACGAAGATATAGGATAGGTGAATACACCAGGACAAAGGGAGAGATATCACAACTGTTTAGCATACAATTGGTCAAAGGATCGATCTCACTTGTCTCTAACGAATTGTAGTGTAACACTAAGAATGGCAAGTTTCACTGACGATGCAGGTGACACGTCTGGGAATGTACCAAGTGCACTGTCCGACTGGAAATTATCATGCACTTATCTAATACGGACTAGGTGCGTTTCTCTAGGTCTTCCTTCCAATATGATCAAGCTGTGAAAACAAGGTCAAATAACTTTTAATAGGATTGACACATTTTTCTTCATAAAAGGACGATTAATCAACACATTTAAGCCAGATGTTTTATTAGCTTAAAATGGTCTATTATCACACGCAATGTTCCACTTTCTTTACAAATTGACTCATTTACATCCGTATTTCTGCACTTTCCTTCTGTTTTGTATTATTGAACTATATTCTTTCATTATTTAACTTTTTGATATTATTTAGATTCAGGACAGATGTCTTATCTCTCTGATCCGCCTACTGGCAAGGTCTCATTAAGCCGCTTGTCATCTTCGTCCGGAGATCATCCCGTCGGTGAACAGTGTACCCTCACTAATCGAGACTTGCAACTTGGCAACACAATCTCGCCAAGCAATGCACTGCTTCCTTCCGTACCACGTCTTTCTAGTTCAACCAGTCCACTCGGCCTTCGAGTTGGAGCCTGTCAAGAGGATTCAGTGAATTCATCGATTTCGTTGACTTCCTCAACCTCACTAGCGGCATCAGCATGCGCAGGGGCCGAGGACGATTTGTTGCGCGACTTACCCAATTGGCCTGAAGATTTACTACGTGAAGCGCTGCGTAGTATACTTCAGCCTGACGGTAGTTTGCCGGAAGACTCTCCATTTGCAAGGCAACTGGCTCGAGTAGCGCACCTCCGCCGAACGAGCATGGCCCAGACATCCCAACAACAATCTTCAGCTTCAAAGGTTCTCGAGGTTGGCGGAAAAGAGGCTTCATTGCATTCTAAAAGCCTCAAAAAGGGTTGGTTCCCATTTTATATAATGCACTAAACCATTTGCTAATTTGCTCCGTCCGTTCGCATTATGAATGCTACTCGAATCCTAAAATTATCTTACCTTATGTAATAAACTTCCCAATCGTCGTTATGTTCAGGGATTTATTTTGAAGGCTCAATTAGCATTACAATTAGCACGGTCTCTGTTTATCTTGCCTATTTACAGCAATTTTCATATTTTTAAGTATTTTTAAATGAGTAATTGAATTTCGGTGTTTTTGTCTGTTCTTTGCTTGTGATCATTTTTTTTTCTGGTTTACCAAGCTGGCAAAGTTAACATTACAGTATCCGCTGTGTATACATGCTTGGCATACTAATATTGTACTCACGAAATCTCTTTGAATATCCATGCTTCTGAAGACCCTTTAATTTTTATCCTATGGATATGATGCAGCTTAGATTATCTAGAACTGATTCCAATATATTTTCACAGCCTTTTTATCAGTATG